TTCAGTCCTCAGGAGGTTCCCCAGGGGGTATTCATTCCTCAGAAAAGATCAAAGTAGAGCTCACGGCTCCTTAGAATACCCCAAAATAGCAAAGCTGAACAGAAACAGACACATTTGCTCTTTAAGGTTGAAAAGGTCCCATTGAAAATAATCAAAATGCCTTTTTTTCTCCCCCATTTTGCTTAAAATCAGTTAATGCATTCCTCCATGTGAAGGTTGAATTCTGAACTCCAAACATTCAGTTTTTAGTTTTCATATTTGTCCACCAGAGGGAGCTGCTTTTTACCATCAAAGCAGGCGGAGCACTGTCACTTTTTCTTGTCAGGGAACCATCTCAGGGAACAATAGTACGGAGCCCCCTAGGGGACATGGGGAATTTTTTTTCTTTTGCGTTCCCTCGCAATACTTTTGCGTTACCTCGCAATATTTTTGCGTTCCCTCGCAAAACCTTTTGCGTTACCTTGCAAAAGTAAATAATCTTAATTCACCATAAATACTGTATGCTTGGTAATATGTATATATCTTTAGCTTCATTTATGATAAGTATGTCAAATATGAATCGTGTGCGTTGGAAGAAAAGGTAGCTCAGACATCCGTTCGCTTGCTTAAAGAAAGAGTGACGAGGCGGGGGATGCAAGGTTAATTTCGTTAACGATGATGATAACTAAATTATTTTGTTGACGACCATTTTTTAAATGACAATAACTACACTATACAACTTAATCAGGCTAAAGTTTACTTCATTCCGCTACGCTACTAGTTTAGCGGTGTCACTGTTATATATAGAACGTACGGGGATTTATGACAGGGCTAGGACTGACACCATCTTTAAAAATACAGAATCGTTCTTTATTTGGCAGTTAAATGATGCTGAAACATGAGAATTATCAAAGCCAGCAAAACTTTCCTGGCGGGACCTGCTACGGACTGGTTATAACTTCAGGTCACGGTTATGTCACAGTTGCTTTTGCGTTCCCTCGCAAAACCTTTTGCGAGGTAACGCAAAAATATTGCGAGGTAACGCAAAGGTATTGCGAGGTAACGCAAAGGTATTGCGAGGGAACGCAAAAGAAAAAAAAATCCCCATGTCCCCTAGGGGGCTCCGTACAATAGAAGTTCTAATCACTCTATTAAAGGACATATTTAATTTATAAATATCATTTTAGTTATTCTATTCTCTATAAAAATATAATTTTATAGTCTTTAATCTGGAAAATGTTATGAATATATGACATTAACACTTCAGGCTGATGTAGTTATAAAGATGTGAGTTGGTTGGAGTGCAGCGAAGAAGATGTCTGGACCGAGGAAGACCTGGACGCCAACTGCAGGAGGGACAACGGCACCGACATCTGCAGCAACAACGGCGACTGCGTCTGCGGCACCTGCCAGTGCAAAAAGCGCGACAACCCCTCGGAGGGTTACAGCGGAAAGTACTGCGAGTGCGACAACTTCAACTGCGACCGCTCCAACAACAAGCTGTGCGGAGGTGAGGCTCAGAGGGGGGGTAATAAACACCAATCTGTTTGCTGAACAATCAAGAATAGAGTCAAGTCACATTTTCACGCCCACAAACGTCTCTCGAAACGCTGGGAAGGTTTTGAAAGGCGACTTGTCTGGTCGAAAGTCAGAGGACTTTGATTTAAACAGACACAAACACAAATAAACCAGAATGTTCTTCCGCCAAATGTTAATAAGAAGAATTCATAGCTGGTTTAAAACAGCCATGATGTCCTGCTACATGAAAATGGGCTCAGTTTGTTCCATTGAGTCAATATGTGAAACACTTTGAGAATAAAAAAATAAGTGTTCCAGGGATAGAGTTGAAATTAGACAAATCTGTTTGCTCATTCGTCAAGAATAGTCAAAATCTGGGGGCGTGGCCTCCCAGATGGGGCTCTGAGGTTCTCTCTCCTCTGGTTCTCCAGGCCACGGGCGGTGCGAGTGCAGGAAGTGCGTGTGCGACCCCGACTACACGGGCAGCGCCTGCGACTGCTCCCTGGACAACTCCACCTGCCTGGCCAAGAACGGCCAGATCTGCAACGGCCGCGGGACCTGCGAGTGCGGCTCCTGCAAGTGCACCGACTCCAAGTTCCAGGGACCGACATGTGAGCTCTGCCCCACCTGTCCCGGAGTCTGCACCGAGCACAAGTGAGTCTGAGGCTGAACCGGGTCCTTCCTCATTTCAGCAGGAAGCTGTTCCTGGTAGGGACGTCCCGATCCAGCTTTATTCACTTCCAATCTCGGCCTATCAGAGGATGTGTTAAAGTTTAAAGTTATCTATCTACTTACTTAGTTGTCAGACTCATGTTGAACAGGGATATACTCTGATAACAACTTAATGGTCTGTGGGTTAGCAGATGCTAATGCTAATGCTCGTGTGGGATCGGACTTAAAAAAAAAACTGGATCTGGAGTCTGGATCTGCATTTTCTCCTGCCGGCCGATTTTTCTAAATATCGGCGCCGATCCGATCAAATATCGGATCGGCACAAGCCTACTTCCTGGTTTTTACTCTGCAGCATTTCATTAAAGTGGTTAACAGAGAGGGGGGGCAGGTAGTGTGGTGGTCAGCACCATGACCCCACAGCCAGAGGGTTCTGGGTTGGAGTCCCGGGGGAATCAGGACCTTTCTGGGTGGAGTCTGCATGTTCTCCTGTGTCTGTGGGTTCTCTCCGGGTTCTCCGGCTTCCTCCCACCGTCCAAAAACCTGCATGTTAGGTTGTTTGGACTCCAAACTGCCCTTAGTGTGAGTGTGTGTGGTTGTTGGTCCTTGTGTGTCTCTGTGTGTCCCTGTGATGGACTGGTGGACCATCCAGGGGGACCCCGCCTCTCCCCATTGGCTACTGGGATAGGCTCCAGTCCCCCACGACCCCATTAGGGGATAAGTGGTAACGATAATGTATGGATGGATGTTTTTCCCTCATCGTCTGTTCATTGAACTCCACTGGTTACCTCTGGCTGCCCGTATCAAATTCAAGTCCCTGATGCTAGCCTACAAAGTGCTTAAGGGTCCGGCTCCCATCTACTTGAATCCTCTTGCAAAGACTTATGTCACAACTCGATCACCCCGGTCATCAATGGATTGTCGTCTAGCAGAGCCTTCACCAGCTTAAGACCATCCAGACTGTTTAATGTGTCGTTCCAAGATGGTGGAACGACCTACCAAGCGCTACAAGAACAGAAGAGTCCCTGTCTGTCTTCAGAAACTCTTGAAGACCCCCCTCTCCGAAGAGCATCTCCTATCCTAACCCTAACCCGAACCTCTACCCCCCCACAGCTCCTTCTGTAGTCCCTCTACCTCTATCTCACCACTGACTCTGATCAGTGTTTCTCCTCTGTATAGCTTATTGTCATAGTGATGATAAATGTAATATTGTGTCTACTCTGTAAGTCGCTTTGGATAAAAGCGTCTGCCAAATGCATAAACATAAACATAAACATGTGGGCGGAGTCGTCTCTGATGGCCGTCTGTCTCCTTAGGGACTGCGTTCAGTGCCGGGCGTTCCAGGCCGGAGACAAGAAGGACGAGTGTGAGCGGCAGTGCAGCTACTTCAAGCTGATCAAGGTGTCCGAACGCGACATGCTGCCCCAGCCCACGGACCAGAGCTACCCCCTCTCCCACTGCAAAGAGAGGGACGCCAACGACTGCTGGTTCTACTTCACCTACGCCATCAGGAACGAGACCAAGGAGGTGGTGGTGGTGGAGAAGCTGGGTAGGTTCACCGGAGGGAATATGTCCCCTTTTCCCGCCACAGGAAGTGTCCCAAATGATGTTTAACTCATTGACTGCCAGAGTTTTTTGAGCATTTTGACTGATTTTTCAAGAGCCACAGAATAGTTTGTGCTATGACTATGTAAACACCGAACACACCAAAAGAAAGAGTAGACTCTATTCTGTCATCAAGAAAAAAATTGTTTCTACCCTATTCCGTTCTTCCTCGACTTGCGTCTCGCCGGCCACATGTTCTCTCAAAGCGAACCGTTACCTTTTTCTTATTTGCCTACAGTCTATGCTCATCTCCCATCAAAAGTGGAACTGCCCCCTTTTAGTATGTTACTACATACTCTGTCTAGAAGCCTGATATTTACGGACAAGCTTTAGCAGATCGTCCCCCAGCCACTCTCGTTGAAAAACATAAAAGACGTCTATAGACGTCTTTGGCAGCCAATGAGTTAAAAAGGGTTTAACCTGGAGACTGCATCCGCACATGAGGAATAGGGATGTCCCGATCCAGCTTTTTTTCCCTTCCGATCCCGATCCCAGCCTATCAGAGCATGTGTTAAAGTTTAAAGTTATTTATCTACTTACTTAGTTGTCAGACTCATGTTGAACAGGGATTTACTCTGATAACAACTTAATGGTTAGGACACAGACCTGTGGGTTGGCAGATGCTAATGCTTATGCTCGTGTGGGATCGGACTTAAAAAAAAAACTGGATCTGGAGTCTGGATCTGCATTTTCTCTTGCCGGCCGATATGTATTTCTCTGCATCCCTTTACCATGATCCCACTTTTTTCCTTGACCTTTGACCTCTTGGCCTCATAGCTGACTTTATCCGACACTACTGCTTGAAATCTAAAGTAAAATAATTTTATATTTTTTCAACCAATCATGTTCATGTTGTGTAGTTAAGATTTTGACCGTCTGGACACAATTGCAAAAACATTTCATTAAATATATAAACACGCATTTTTAATCTAAAGATAAACTGAGACTATATGAAGAAAAACTCCTGTGCCAGGACAAAGTCTAGTTATCAAACCTATTAGGTTGATACCATCTATCTTGAAAAAGGCAAAAATTTCAGGAGGTTAAAAAAGGAACTGCTTCATTTTAATTTATTTTAAAATACCCAAACTCTCTAATTAGAAGTGATGAGTTGGACTATTTAAAACGGTGCTTTTCTGTTTCAGAGTGTCCGAGGGGCTGATCTGCGACTCCAGAGTCAAAGATTAAAGACTTCACACCTCTTAAAGACTGTTTCCTGATATGGTTTAAGGATTATGTCTCATTTTCTGAGGGCCAGAGGAATAAAAAAAGACTTCACTCTGTCTTGAGAAGAAGTGGATGCTGGAAAATGCTGGTAAAACATTTTTCTTTGGATTTCTTTGGCTCTTTTATGCATTTTTAATCCCAGTTTTTGAAGCTGAGCGTTTTTCAGGGGAATAGTCATTGTTTTTCGAGCCGCTTAACTCTGAGCTGCGAAAAAACTGAAGCAGAGAAAAGGCCCCGTAACTCAAGGGATGAGCCAGAGTCGTCTCCACACAGAGCAGAAACTCTTCAGGTTTTTAGTTGTTAGCATCACCGGCTCCCGTTTCTTTAAGAATAAAATAAACACCCGGAGAAAGTTCTGACCTGTTAAAAAACGTCCCTATTTGAGGGGGATAAAACCATCAGATGTTGTTTTTACTTAAAACATTTATTTGACCCAATTCTTTGGAATGTAATA